TTTTCTGTTTTAAATCTGTTGGACTAATTAATCTAGTAGCAGAATTTACTGTCTGCTGAGTCTGTTCTTCAGTAATTTTATTTTCTGTAACAGGATTTTCAGCCTGTTGAGTCTGATTAAATTCAAAAGTAGGAGAATCAACAGTCTCCTGAGTCTGTTGGGCTTTTGGTAAGTCCAAAACCATAAACGGATTTGTTAAGTCTTTACCAGCTACCGTTTGAGCTGGACTAGTTATAGACTTCTTGGGCTCTATAGTGCCTGAAACTGTCTGAAAATCTGAATTTAAAATTTTTATTTTAATCATTTCTTGTTTTAGATCAGAAATCTTCTTTTGTAAAGATAATTTTTCTTGTTGTAAAATCTGATTTGATTCATTTAAAATTTTAAAATTTTTAGTCATGCATTCACAATGTTAACAAAAATTTGAAGAAAAATCTAATGGCTGATCTGAAACATTTTTTAATGAAGGGGCTATAAAATAATTAATTCCTAAATGCTTTCTGCATTCATCTAATGCTTTTGAGACTGAATAAAAACCTTTATAAAGAGGATTTGGAAAATTTTTTATACAATCTGATACTTCTATCCAAGTATGATAAACTCCTGGAAGTCTGCCTTGAAAAACAACATAACATTTAAATTTCTTATGATTTTGACTAAAATGTTCTGAAAGAGCATTTAAACATGCTAAAAAGTATTTTTGATCTTTAGGATTCTTATTATAGGAAATTCATAAATTATCTAAAATACATTTTTCTGATTTTGTAACTGAAATATGAGATAATGTCTTAAAGCTAATATTACTATTTGGAAAGCGGAGTAATTCTACATTACCAAATCTTAACTTGTCATAAGTCTGTGCTAAATTAGTCTGAGATAATGATGAACTTGAACTGCCAATTGTTGGCAATCCTGGCCTAGGACCTCTTTGTCTTTGCATCTGCAAATTCTCAAAGAAATAATCAATCATATTCTTTATTTTTAATTAGTCTACTTAATATATCTGCTATCTGATTATCACTACCTTTAATGTGTTCAAAATTAATTACTAATCCAGTATTAGTAATTCTATCTATAAAATTTAACCATATTCTTCGATTACTTCTTTTATTTTCTAATTTCATTTTATTAACAAAACTTACTATTGCTTCACAATCTGTTCTTAAAGTAATTTCTTTTTTAGAAATAATAAATAACTCAAAAGAATCTAATGCATAATTAACTGCAAGTAATTCTAAATCTATGCTACTTATATTACCTTTTTCTTTATAATTTTCACTATTATATCTTACAATTTTTTCACTATCCTTATCTGCATATTTATTAGGTTTTGCAATTAAAATTGCTCCCCATCCTGTTATACTTCCATCTGTTTCTATAATTAAATAGTCTGTATCTAATGGCATAGATAATTTAGGTAAGTCTTTTAATTTCTCTTTATTTTTTGGATTAATTTAATATCTTCTATATTAAAATATCTTTGACCTTTTGGTGAAGTTTTTCCATATAAAGGTCCTGCAATTTTTCCTAAATCTTTAATAAAGGGTCTAGCATAATTAACTAATCCTAAAAAGTTTTGTAACTGCTTAAGGTCTTCAAGTTTATCTGAAAAATCTAAAGCTTTTTGAGCTATATGAGGTTGTAACTCTATTTTTCCCTTTCCTATATTTACTCCTAAAAATTCTATATATTCTTTAAATAAAAACATTTTCTTTTTATTTATAATTAGACCATGTTTAATAAATTCTGAAAAAAGAATCTGTAAATGACCTCTATGTTCTCGCCTATTTTTACTGAATACTAAAATATCATCTATATAAACTATAATAAATTTATTATGCTTACTAAAAATACTATCAATTTCTCTTTGAAAAATACTAGGGGCATTTTTTAATCCAAATGGCATAACTAACCATTCAAAATGTCCTTCCGGGCTAGTGAAAGCTGTCCATTCTATTGAATCTGGGTGCATTTTTACTTGCCAAAAACCAGATTTTAAATCAAACTTACTAAAAATGTTACAATCTTGAATCTTATTTATTAAGACCGTCTTATCTGGAATATTATAGGCATCATCTATTGTATTATCATTTAGTCTTTTATAATTAATTACCATTCTACTTTTTCCTCTACTAATTTCTGAATGTTTTCTAACTATAAAAACTGTTGATCTGTGTGGGCTTTCTGATTTTTTAATTACTCCTAATTTTAATAAATCTTTTATATGCATCTTAAAATCTTCCTGATCTTGGTTTGTAGCTTCAATATTTTTTGCTTTAATTATCTATTCTGGATTTTTTATTTTTATTTCACAAAAAACTTTATCTTTTTCCCAATATTTTAATACATTTTCTCCTAAAATTTCTAATTTTTCTAGCTTACTAATCATGTTTTCTATATCTTGTTCTGTCACTAACAAATTATATATATTTTTCAATTTCTACAAAATCTAAATCTAAACATATTTCTTCTTCTTCTTCCTTAAAATACTCTTCTAAAAAAATTTCTAATTCTTCTTTTTCTATTAATTGACATTCTCTTTCTCTACTACACTTACATTCTTTTTCTTTAATCCCACCACGCTTCTCAGCATACTCTGATGGAATATTCTTAGTATAAATAGGTGCACAAATTGTAAATTTTTGTAATTGCATAAAATCTTTGCTAATTATTATGCTACCATTATCTTTTAGTAAAAAACTTAATCCTAAAATTAAATCTGTATTTAAAGATAATTCTCTTACCCATACTTAGTCTTTAGGTAAACTATATTCTGTACTTTTTCCACAATTAGTCTCAAAACTAATTCTTGCTGGTTTTAAAATATCTTGGTAACTATAAAAATTCCCATCTATTTGTTGGGCTTCTATAGGTTCTTTTGACTTTATTATATATTTTTCTGGTATGATTCTTTTATTGATTACACAATGACTACATCCTGAATCTATTAAACCTAAACAAATTATTTCAAAATTTTCTATTCTAACATAACATTTTACTTTAATACTTTTTAATTTTTCTGAATTATAAAAAACTTGAACTAATTCTGGTTCAGGAGTAATTTCTGGGTTTTTCTCTTTTTTATTTAATTCCAAAAATTCTAATTTTTGTAAAATATATCTTTGCATACCTTCTAAGTTTTCTATTCTTTTTCTTAATATTTTTATTTCTGATAATTCTATTTGAATTGAATCAATTTGATTATCCTCTTCAAATTCTACTAAGTCTTTTTGTATTAAGCATTTTTTACATGCTTCTAAAAAACAATCTTTACATTTAACTCTTAATTTTTTACTAGGATACCATTTACATAAAAAACATGATATACTATCTGAACCTGTTTCTTTTACCCATTTATGTTTACATTCTAATTCTATATCCATAAATTCTAATTCTTCATCTGAATTTGATAAATTTTTAATATTTGAAAATTCTTGTATAAAATTTTCATAATCTGATTGTTCTTCTAAATTACAATTATTATTATAATCTTCTATTGATATAATACTATATACTGACTCTTTATCTGAAATATATTCATCTATTTCTAACAAGTCTTCATTAGTACATTCTACTAAAGTACTTCTTTTATCATTATTATTTATCTTTTTTGGACATGTCTTAGCTAAATGATCTGTTTCTCCACAAACATAGCAATTTAGTTTATTAGGATAATTTCTTTCTTATTTAAATTTTCTAACATGTCTATTTTCATCTAAATAAGGTTTTCTTCTATTAGATTTTCTAAAATAATATCTTTTCTTAAAAGGTTGACTAATTTTCCTTTTATCATATTTTCTTTTAATCTTTTCTCTAAACTTATTACCATAAGTCTGAGGTATGAAAATATTTTTACAGAATTTATAATCTGTCTTTTTAAGTTGATTCTGTTTAGTCCATCTATTTAGACTAAGTTGTTCAAGATCTCTAATAGCTTTATGTTGAATTAATAATTGTCCTGTATTTGGGTCTGCTCTTGTTAATAATTCATGTATCTTACTAACAAAATTATAAGGATTATTTCCTAATGCTACTAATGCTTCAAATTCTGTTTGTTTATCTTTCTTAAAAGCTTCCCATGTAGCTTTAGCACTTTCTCCTAAAAATGTCTCTAAATATCTATACATTTCTAATGATTCCATATTATCTGCTAATCTAATATAATGGCCTAATATTGTATTCTTCCATACTTCTATTATATTATTCCAAGTTTGAGGATCATGTGCTGTAATATTTAATATTTGTGGTTTATGTGGTGTTTGAAATTCTATTTTAGGTTCTAAAGGTCTAACTTTTCCTCTAGCTATATAATTTCTTTCTTTATCATTATAATCTGTATAAGCTATTCTAGGAGGATGACCACCTAAATATTGATATTGTTCTGGTTCTGTTTTAATTTGCATAATTTCATCTGTTAATTCTTTGTAATTACTAT